AATTTTGGGATTGTCCTTCCTCATGCTTGGGGAAAACGCCTGGTGGGTGAGGATGCCCTCCACCCACCTGGCTTTGTGTTCATGTAAAAGTCTTGTGATTTGATTGGGATTGTCCTTCCTCATGCCTAAGGAAACACCTGGTGGGTGGGGATGCGCCTCACCCACCTGACCTTGTGCTCACGTGAAAGTCTTGTGATTTAACATGTGAAAGTTTGGGATAAAAGACCCACGGCTGGTCACAATAAACGGCTTCTGCTCATTTCACTGAACAGTTGTCCATTTTCTTTCTTTCTCTTTATATCTATCCCTCCATCTTTCTTTCAATATCTATCCCTACTACAGAATCGGCTTCTGCACTAGACAGAGTCCAGTCTCTTTCTTCCCTTCTATTCTCCCAGAATATTCGCCGACGCTGCCCCACCTTCCAGGGACCATCTAAATCTCTTTTGGGGGGCTGGCCCCCCATAGTGGTGCACACCTTTATTCTCAGCTACACAGGAGGCTGTGGCAGAAAGATCACCTGGGGCCCAGAAGGTAAAGGTTGAAGTGAGTAAGTGATAGAGTGAGACCCTGACTCAAATAAATGAATGAATGAATAAATTAATTCAGAGAAGGTAACAGAATTAGAAAATCATTTTGAAGACCAAGAGAGATAATAGAGTGAGGGAATAATAATACAAATGAATGAATGGGTGAATGAACGTCAAAAGGCAAAGAAGAAACGTTACTATGACCAACTTTAGCAGAACTAAAAGTGTGGCTGTCATCATACACCTCCTCAAGGACCATGATGGGAAAGCAAGACTTCAGATATCGTTATTGATACAAATTTGAAACTGAATCTAATCCAGCCTTGAGTTTCAAGCACCTGTAAGTATCAGCTTATCGGATTTTTTTCCCCAATCTTTACCCTGAGAACCTGGTGGAACTCCTGGAGGCAAAATTCACAAAAGTGTGGTGGGGGGCCCCTAAGACTGAGTACCACCAGCCCAGGACTCACCGAATTTCTGCTCTCTTCGAATTTCTGCTCTCAGCCTGGAGGGCCGAACAAACATTGATGCACCAGGTCCAGATGATGCCTGAGGTGGGGCTTCAGTGATTTCCAGGGAATGATGCAGGCATTGCATGCCCTACTACAGACTGAGCAACTCCATGAAACCATCTCACTTCATTTATGTTCACCTAGGACTGCACTTTCTTCTGAAAAATGGCCCGGCTCTTTCACGAAGCAGTTTTCTAAATACTGCCTGGAGACTTTTTTTTTTTTTTTTTTGGCAATGGGATTCATAAAAATATACATTGAGCTGGTTGCAGTGGCTCACGCCTGTAATTCCAGCACTTTGGGAGGTGGAGGCGAAAGGATTGCCTGAGCCCAGGGCTTCGAGAACAGCCTGGAAAACTTAGCGAGACCTCATCTCTACAATAATTCAAAAAATTAGCTGGGTGTGGTGTCACGCACCTGTAGTTCCAGTTACTTGGAAGGCTAAAGCAGAAGGATGGCCTGAGCCCAGCAGGTCAAGGCACTGGTGGCCATGAGGGTGTCACTGTGCTCCAGTCTGGGCAACAGAGTGAGTGAGACACTGACTGAAAAAAATACACACACACACACACACACACACACACACACACACACACACGGTGCCAAAAAGTGTATACACTTTTTTTAAAAAGATGTGGGGTACAATTCTTTGTTAGGTATACAAATAGTCATTATTCAAGTACAATTTGGGTCTCACTTTGGTCCCCACTTCACTTGGTTTGATCAGACACCCTTATTAATGAATTGTGCCCCCTTTCCTCTCTTGGCAGTTTCCCACTACTGCCAATCCCTTTCTTGTAGTACTATAATTGTTCAGGGTCCGGTTATGAGTGAGAATATGTAGTACTCGGTTCTTTGTGTTACAGACTCTAAATCCATCCAAGTTGCTACGAAGTTCATAATTTTGTCCTTTTTTATGGCTGTGTAATTTCCATCGTATATATGTACCACTTTTTTTTTATCCAGTCCTCTTTCGATGGACAGCACAATTTGTTCCATGTTTTTGATACTGTGAATAATGCTGCAACAAACATACATGTGCAGGTGTCTTATCACAGAGTAATTTGAGTTCCTTTGGGTATATTCCCAGAAGGGGGACTGCTGGATCATATGAAAGGTCAATTTTTAGATCTTTCAGGAATTGTCACACTGTTTTCCACAGAGGTTGTACTAGTTTACACTCCCACCAACAGTGTAGAAGTGTTCCCTTCTCCCTGCATCGTCTCCAACATCTGCTGGTTTTTGAGTTATTGATGACTGCCATCCTAACTGGAGTTAGGTGGTATCACAGTGTGGTTTTGATTTACATTTCTTTGATGATTAGTGAGGCTGAGCATTAAAAAATGTATACACATTTTAAGAAAGGAAAAAACTGTAATAGTCAATGTATACTGATAGTAAAAGGTGAATACAGGTCACATTTGACTTCTGCAATTACAAGAGGTGCTCAAAGTGGTTACCATAACACCCACACACTTCTGATTATGGTAAATTAAAAGTAATACATAGATAACATCTCTTAAAATGTGTATACATTATTTTGGCACCCCATACACGTTTATATCCACTTATTTATATATATATATATAAATTGAGCTGGATGCAGCAGTGCAGACCTATAGTCCCAGCTACTCAGGAGGCTAAGGTGGGAGGATCACTTGAACCAAAGAGCCTGGACAACATAGTGAGACCCTTGTCTCTAAAAATAATTATATATATTTATATAATATATATTACACATAAATTATATAACTGTATATCATTTATAGAAAATATTTATTATATATAAAAGAAGTTATACTAAAACACATTCTCATTTTTTCACCCCTCACCTACTATCAGATCTAATTTCCAATTATTAAAACAGAGACCCAAAGAAGTGGTAGACAGATACAGTATTATAGCCTCAGCTACCACCTTATAGGCTCAGCTTCTCTTGGGGGGTATGAGAGTAAGTTTCCTCTCTTGGACCAAGAGAAATCACTTTCGTTGCTGGAGAATTACCAAGGGGATGTTACGTGTAAATATGAGAGAATATCTGATGAAGAAAAATGTGGGTTAGGGATCCCCATGCAAGGAGAGAATGAGCTGAAGAATAACTAGGTGATGAGTTCAGATGTCAGCACCCTTTGACCTCAAATGGTATCAAATGGACCTTAATCTAGGTCCATTTCAAAGTAGGTCTCTGGATAAAGAAAATGTGGTACATATACACGATGGAATATTATGCAGCCATTAAGAAGGACAAATATATGGACTCTGCAGCAACTTGGATGGATTTGGAGTCGATCATACTTAGTAATCTATCACAGAAACAAAGAACAGAGTACCATATGTTCTTACTTATAAGTGGACCTTGAACAATTATAATACCATAAGAAAGTGTTTGGCAGTAATGGGAAACTGTCAGGGGAGGGGGATAGAATAGGCAGTTGAGGGAAATTGCTAGGGGAGGGAGGGGCATACCTCATCAACAAGGGTACCTGCATGATCAATGTTTGTATACCTATCCCTGAATTGTACCCCACATCTTTATAATAAAAAATTAATTAATTAATTTTTTTTTTTAAAGTAGGTCTGAGTGGAATAAGCAGAACTCAGGGCAAGTGGCTTCAGCTTTGGGAACCTGGGGAGAGAAAGGGGAAGGGAGAAAGTTGTTTCTCTGTTCTCTTACCCAAGAGAGAAATGTATCTACCAAAATTTAAATCCATTTGAGTCCAAGCATTCAATTACTTAAAAAAAAAAAAAAAACTCAGTAAAATATTAAGTAGAAAAAAATTAGAAGTTTGAGTAACTAGTATTAGTTCTGGGTAATTGAAAATATTCTGTTGGAAATTCTGCAGCATTTAGAGTAGTGAGCTGATAGAGTCAATTCCAGACAGCATCACTCAGAATTTCCAGAGGAAACAGAAAAGGAGCTACTAATTCTGACATTTCAAATTAAAAATTATTAAGCTGCAAATAATTCTACTGAAACTCTTTAAAACTAGCTTTACTATTTACTTTTATGGTTCATAGAAAGAGACGTTCTTATCAAGTGTCCTTGAAAATATTTCAGAATTAACAATTCATTAAACTCAAAGCCAACCTTTCATAAGTCTCATCTGCACTACACACAAAACATTCAGAGATAGAAAACAAAACAGAGTAAAATACCTACTCTACCTAATTTAATTTTCCAGTTAAGAATACTCTTCCAAATAACTGAGGATAAAGACTGTAAAAATTGAGATCGCTCACAGGCACAGTTTTGCATCTCATTCCAGTTTCCATCACCCACACAAACAACTCCGATTCTTGCTGAACAAAATGAGAAATTCGAATTGTCCGAGTCTGAGACGGTCCTCGATCCAAGCACAGCCCCCATCGCCAACCCCAGCTCCCTGCGCTGCACCCGCCTCACTCGCTGGAGGCGCCTCCATCGCTCACCAGAAAAGTTTTCATGTAAACCATTTTCATCTTCAGATGAACATCTCCGCTTCCAATGTAAATGGTCCACGACGCGTCTCTTAAGTTTTTACCTAGCCAGCCTCCAAAGGACACCAAAGAGGTTCCAAGGAATCCAAAAGCGAAGAATCAGATACCGCTGGACGGAAAATCAAACGTGTTTAGGTATCGGGCGGAGGGGAGGGGCCCCGCGCACCCGGGCCCCGCCCCCGTCCGCCGGGCCCCGCCCCAGCCCAGTCCTGGCC